TAACACAGAGAGCTGTGCCCTACAAAGTACAGATTATACTTCATTTTTGATGAACAGCTTACTTCTTCTATGATAAACTCTAACCTGAGGACTTATATAAACAAACAGAAGTCAAACAAAAAACCATAAGGAAAGAAAAATGAGTGCTTTTCTTCACTAATTATGAGTGGAATATCTGTCTTCTTTCAGAATATTTTCCAAGCTTGTGTAAATGGACTATTTGTCCTTAAAACTACATTGGAGACTCCAGAGACGATTGATATTTTCATCTTTACTGTCTAGGTTTCTTCTTACAGCATTAAGACTTTTCTTTAAAGTAAAATACCTTAGAAAATTATTTTATATTAATCACACATGATGATTTCTTACTTAATTCAGAATTCAAATAAATATTAAATATCAGTTAAAAGGTAATGAACATAAAGATGTAGTATTTTTTCCATCCAACTTCATGGCTTTTATCTGATTATTTGTGAATATCACAAATCAATCAACGCAAATACCAAGTTCTTGAACAGTGTACCATTTAAAAAGATATATAACTATCTTTCTCAATATTTAATACTAATTTTTAAAAATATCAGCATCCTTTCACATAGTGGTATATCATAGCTGGAGTTCAATAGGCAATAGGCCCTGAGACATTTATATGCAGGCAATTTATTTTGAAGTGCTCTTAGGAATAACACCTTTTAAGGGAGTGAGGGGAGCAGAGTTGAGTAGAAATGTGTGATGCGGTTACAAGAGAGGACTCAGCTGATCCCATGGAGATCTAGGATAGCCTTCAGAGTTTGAGGTAAGAAGTAAGAAAAGTAAGTTCTTTCAACCAATGTTTTGACAAGTCATTGGATGTAAGCTAATCCTGGAGAGACGCAGCCCCCTTCAGCTACTGGGAATTCATGGACAGTGACTCAGATATGACCTAGTAATGCCAATTTTCTTGGTACTGAGGAAGTGAATGATTGAGCTCTGAAGGGGGAAATTGGACAGTATACCCCAACATCTACTACATGCACCTCCTGTATATAATATAATTTCCCATCTGGAAATAGCTCCTCAAGATGTTAAGGAAACATGAGAAAAAAGTTAGTAGGACAAACTACATATGTCTCTGTTGCAGCCAATTTTAGGAATACACTGATATCGTAATCCCTTCCTTTATTATCCATTCTAGATTCTCCTCACTTGGTAGCACCTCTGGTTATTTAAATGGCATATCTGATGAGTCCACCTAGACTCTTATCCTTGAGAAATTTGGAGTCCTGATTGTCATGGACTTCTTATGATGTGGCTGTTACAACAAACTAGGCAGTGGGCTATCATCCCTTCTACCATGATTATTCTATTAATGTGCTTTTTGTGCCAGCACTGGGGTGGCTGATAGTATAGGGTGGCTGAATTTCACTGGCAGGCTCATTCTGTGTACTTGTGCTTTAGATGTTCTGCTAGGCATTCTTCTGTGGTGGATGTTCTGGTGGGCATTAATGTGATATAAAAAAGATTTTCACATTCCATCCATATTCCTCTTTCCAGATTGCCTTGTCCTTGAACTTTTAATCTTTCTCATCTTATGTCTCTGGCCAACCAGAAAAAAGCCATCTTCAACTGTTGTTGAGTCCATCCATACATGTATTTTTAATTAAATCTACTTCTATTCATGCTCAAAGTGGATGACCAAGTTCATGCTCTGCAGCTTTACCATTGTGAATATTTTCTCTCATGACTGTCTTTTAGGAGCATTCCAGAAAAATCCATTTTGACATGCATTCTCATACAGACCTACTCATCTGTGAATCAAGCCCAACCTTTTTCCCTCCATTATGTGTTGATTATAATAGTTCTCCAATGCAGTCATAAGTTTGACCTAAATGGTGGATAACCAATAATTGTAGATAATATGGTCATTTGATACATACTGAACAAATGGACGTGTATGGACATGATACATACTGATTGTATAATTTAATTGCATGATTCCCCAAATCAGATGCTTTGTCTCTACCTGCAACCACTGACACATCAGGAGTTTTTCAAACATTTATGATTCTTGCTGCAGATGATGTGATCTTGCTCTAGAACTCCAAAGGTCTATATTGTGATCTTCCTACTATGATCTGCTATACACTCTACGAGGCAATTTTTCTCCAACATAAACTTATAATTCCATGAGACTTGCTGGCAAAATGCCTCAAGAGTCAGGTTTGTGTGCACTACAGCCAAGACCTGCATCAGCATGCTTTCCTAACAGGGACCTGCTCAATGTTGGCAACCTTCTATGTCACTGAGCAAATGGACAGAAGCACACTCTTAAG